CGCAGTGACGTCAGTGCATTCTGAGTCAGAACTCTCAATCTGCATGCTTAAAATACTAGTATAGTACTGAAGCCATTAGAACATCATGGTGGCCAGGCAACTAGTAATTTAAAAAAGGGTGGTCATCAATAGCAGTCTCCATATTTCTTTCAACACACTTTTCTTTTATATAACCAACAGTTTTGTGAATATCTCATGGGCACCCCTGGTTCTTGGGGGGGGGGGCCCAGCGAAGAAGCACACTGCCCTAGGGCCGCGGCCAAGGGGGGCCCGTCACCCGGTGGCATAGCATGGGGGTGCCGTCACCCAGTGGCATAACATGCGGGGGGCCCGTGGCCCAGTGAGATTCGGTCCAGCGCCAGCAATGACCCCATCCCCTCCGTCCTCCCCCCCTCTCCCATTGCAGGTGGACTAGGCCGCCAGAAGGTCGTCTTCACACAGCGTCGGGCGCAAGGCAGAGGCGGAAGTACCGCCAGTGCGTGACTGAGCCAGCGTGCAAGGAGAGGAGGTGGGGGGGGGCCCTAGTACCAGTGGCAGGACAGGGGAACGAATGATGGGGGGGCGCCGGGCGCCATCTGCTTGGCCGCCCTGCAAGTGAGGCAGAGAGCCACACACTGGGTTTAATTGTACCACAGGCAGCGCTGGGGCCTCGGCCCGGAGTTTCCTGAATACACACCCCTGCTGCATGGTGTTCCAGCCTGGAGGACAGTTAGATAAGGTAAGTGATTTAATCTCTGTGGCTGTATGTTCTGTGAGTTTGTAGTCCTGTATAGCTGATGGAACTAATCTGCATTTCTGTATACATTATTACTGGGAGTTGTAGTCCTCTATAGCTGGTGCCATTCTGCATTGCAGCAGTGCAGAATGGCATCAGCTATAGAGGACTACAAGTCCCAGCAATGCATTATAGTGTGGGGGGGATGTTGGGGTATTCTGCATAGCCAACTTTTATTATAATGCATTGCTGGGACTTGTAGTCCTGCATAGCTGATGATATTCTGCATTGCTGTATGATGATTATACAGCAATGCAGAATAGCTCCAACTATGTAGGACTATAAGTCCCAGCAATGCATTATAGTGGGGGGGTGCTGAGGGTATTCTGCATAGCCGACTTTTATTATAATGTATTGCTGGGACTTGTAGCCCCACATAACTGGTGGTATTCTGCATTGCTTTATGACGATTATACAGTAATGCAGAATAGCTCCAACTTTGTAGGACTACAAGTCCCAGCAATGCATTATATTTTTAAGTAGGGATACACCAGTGCCAATACTGGGCATTTTCACGAGTACTCACACTCGTGAAAATGCCCCGATACTAAACGCGGATACCGGTGTTCTGTCGAGAACGCCGACGTAGTCGAATTTCATGTGTCTCGGAAGAAAATCGTCTGTGATCCCCGTGTAGAGCTTGACTTGGCCAGGGTACAAGTGGGGTAACGATGGGATGGATGAATGCGTGCCTAGATGGTATAGGGCTGGCAGGAACGATCATATATTCGAGCTGTGCGGACTGGGATGGCCCGACCAGGCCGCAACGGCAGTGCGTGGTGACCGCTAGATAGGTGTCAGTGGGTCAATCACCCTTTAAAAAAGCCCCCGATACTAAACGCGGATACCGGTGTTCTGTCGAGAACGCCGACGTAGTCGAATTTCATGTGTCTCGGAAGAAAATCGTCTGTGATCCCCGTGTAGAGCTTGACTTGGCCAGGGTACAAGTGGGGTAACGATGGGATGGATGAATGCGTGCCTAGATGGTATAGGGCTGGCAGGAACGATCATATATTCGAGCTGTGCGGACTGGGATGGCCCGACCTGGCCGCAACGGCAGTGCGTGGTGACCGCTAGATAGGTGTCAGTGGGTCAGGCTGTACGACAGACTGCACATGAAGACAGAGGGGGCCGCAATGAGTTGGAGTCTGCTGAACCCGCTGGGCGTCAAAGAAGGTGCCCAGTGGGTTCAGATAGCGCTACGCGTTTCGAGGTACTTGCCTCTTTGTCAAGCCGAGATATGAGGTGAAACTTCTACACCGCTAGACACCTATCTAGCGGTCACCACGCACTGCCGTTGCGGCCAGGTCGGGCCATCCCAGTCCGCACAGCTCGAATATATGATCACAGACGATTTTCTTACGAGACACAGGGACATCTTAAACGTAAGTCTCTCCATACAGTAGTAGCGCTCTAAATATATCTGTGTATGTCGTTTCATACAGGGTCCCTCACCCTGTTTACCATAGAGCTTGCACACTGCTTTTTTAACTCTTCATTATCCAATTTTATTGCAATCACTTGTGCCCACGTCCCCAACAGTTGGTACTCCAGGTAGTGCGCTTTTCCATTTGTTTTAGTCGAATCTGCCGACCTCAGCATCTGCGCTTGCGCACAGACCAGTATTATTGAGGAAACCAGGATTTATTCACAAAGTATTTCGTTTAAATCGTTAATTGTGACTGTTAATAATATTCCAGCCATCCTTTACTGCCATGGACGGTGTATTATTAATGGTCACAATTAACCATTATAAACCAATACTTTGTAAATAAATGCCGGTTTCCGAGTTAATCCCGTCTGTACGTATGCGCAGATACTGGGTCAGCGTTCTCGACAGAACACCGGAACTAAAATTTTAAACAAGCGGCTGCCTGAGGTCCCGCGCTTGCTGGGGACCTCGGCAGCCTTCCTGTTAACCATGTGCTGCCATTGCGGTTGGGGAGGGCCCTTAATGGTTTTTTGCACCGGGGCCCTGAAGGTTCTAGTTACGCCACTGCTAGGAACTATGGGTGGGAGATATCGTACTTAAAGCAAGATCTTGGCAAGAGATTTAAGAAGCCAGCAGACAACTCAACCCACAATACTTCTGGGTAGACTGTCTCTTCAAGGAAAAAAGGCATCGACCATGTGGTCTGTCATTGCATTTATTGTAGTAAGGGAACTGAGTGGCCATACAACAGCTCAAGAGCTGCAAGCAATGCAAGCAATGCAAGAGATTTGAGTGTTGCTTGTTGCTTGTAGTGGTTAGGAAACTGTTGGGTTTTGTAGGACCTATTTGGAGAGAAATATGGGGGCTTCCACTGCTGATCTTGTTCTGAAAATGCTTAATGCCATGCTATTATGCTAACCCTCTGGGTTCAGTATGTTCTGTGTCACTGACCTGGAAAAACTATGCAAATCAGAAAAACCAAGGCAAACTCAGTTATCCTTATCTAAATACTTGTTTCAGGTTAGTGGTTCAAAGTACAGCATGGCAGCCCAGCAACTAGTATTTTTGGTATGGTAAGTCTGCAAAGGCAGCCTTCAAGTTTCTCTCTGGATAAGATTACCTTACGTACAACAATCTCTTCTGAATGCACATTACAATGTGTAAACCTCTGTACGTTATGGGGTCTATTCACGAAGCTGCCGAGGGCAGCCGAGTGAATGACCGATCTGAAGTGAAGTGAGCCGAACACTGTTCGGCTATTCACTTCAGGCTGGTACGGCTAATTTCAGCCGTACATCGGCTAACATCAGCCGTACATCGGCTTGCTTCGTGTGGCTTCGGGTCGGCCGAACATGCTCAGCCGAGCCGATGCATATACGTTCGGCTCGGCTGAGCCGCTCGGCCATGATCGGGAGCTGTACGGGCTATTGTGAATAGCTTGTACAGCAAGCTCTCGGTTCGAATTAACCGATGGACTCCCGTAACCGAAGCTAGCCGAAGGATCGTCCGAAGCTACGGCTAGATCCTTCGGCAGCTTCGTGAATAGACCCCATGTGTTTGTTTCCTTTTGTATTTAGAAAAGGGAACAAACCTCTAATGATGCATTAATTTCAATTATGTGCTGGCTGATTCAGGTTTAACATCATTGCAGATCCTGTCCCTTCACAAGTGAGAATAGTCAATGTCTTCTTTACCATCAGAACGCTATAGCTAGTAATCTCATAGCCCTCTTAGCCTAACATGGCTGAAAAAACAGAACGATAGTCTATACATAGTTTTGGAACATATAAAATTACATATATTACCTGTAACAAGAAATATATGGGATTGGAATAGCTTGTTATTGTTCATACTAGTAACATAAGGTTTATTGGTCCTTTTACTTGGACATACCCAAAGCACAGATTTAAGACAAAAAAAAACAGCTTTATCAGAACATTTTGCATTGGATAAAGCCATGTGCATTGTAATATATATTTTTTTGTATTTGTAGCATACAATAAAAAATAAAATAGTTATGCACAAAGAATGCAACGCTGCATTTACCAGAATAACACAATATTTAACACTGAAGCAAGCCCATACAGAAACAGCACAAGGTGTACAACTATATCTTATCTATACTTTACTGCAAACAATTGTTATATTTTACATCCACTTTAACTTCATATATACATCCAGAATCCAGTTAGTACTATACAATTTATTATTTTAAAATAATGTATTTAGAATAGTAAAAAAAAATATATGCTGTAGTCATTGAGGACTAAAATATTGTATTAGGCGGACTATAAAACACATAATAACCCAATATTATAACTTCAAGGCACAGTTAAAGGGGATGTAAACCCAAACTGAATGAGTTTTAGTCTGACACCTTTATGGCAGGATTACCAGATATTATTTTAATGTAGGCTGTGCATTTAAAAATGTAGAAAATTACTTTAGATATAACCATATTAGCTCTTCTATGAGATTTTAGCGATTGGGTTTACTTAAAGATGATTTGCCTATTCATGATCAATGTCCACTCAGGATAAATGATAATATTGTACTGTACCAAGTACACTAATTATGCATTGTGTAGTTTGCTCATACCTGTGGTATTCTAACAATATCTGACAGTTACACACCTTACACCTAACACACTACTTCCAGTAGAAAAGAGATCAGTTTTACAGTTTGAGCTTTAAAAAGTTAAAGTTATAGCCCAACAGACATAGATTCGAAAGAAAAGCCATATTAACATGAAAAAAACATGTAAACACACATATAATGAAATAATGCACTCACCAGAATTGATAGAACAAGCAATAATGAGTAGAAAGGGGAGATGAGTCCACTGGATCATATTCATCTAGAGTGCCTTCTGTGTCAGTTTTTGTGATGTACTGTCATAAAGCAGATTTATGTGGCACTGCAAATTAATCCTTGAAAAGACAGAGGAAGGATTTATCACAATTCCATCAGCATGAGAAATCATCGAAGCGTACTTTACTGTTTCAGCTGCCTGCTTCTAGTGCTCTGGTTCCTAAGCTCTGCCCTGTTTAACCCTCCTCATGCCCACTGTCTTCTAAGGAGATTTGATGGTGACAAATATTAACACAGGAAGGCTACTGACACCATCTTAATTTTATCATACCTCTATTCTTATATTGTTGTATCGGTGTGTTGTTTATTATATCACACTGTGTTGTCTTTAGGTAATTTTTTTTAGAATGTCATGTTTTACTTGGTAGAATTTAGTTTTTTCCAGTCTAATAAAGTAGAATTAAATAAAGATTTTAAAAAATTTAAGGTATTGAATGAATATTTTTTGAAGATTTCTGTGTTTAGTGAAAACCTTTAAAGGGAATCTACCCCACCTAAAATACTGTATATTCAGTCACCTGATCAGGTGTTAACAGCTAGCAAACACAGGTTATTTGTCTTGTGGAGATGGTTTTGTACAACGCCCCTTTGGAAAGCTAGTATAAAAAGAGAAACTTATTTTTTTACTCTATTTTATAAAAACGATATTTAAATAATTGCTATCCTCGGGTTCCAAAAATTGGCAAAAGCCAATAATTGATACACAACCAGCATATATTTGTGTAAAGCAACGTATTGAAGCTGAACTCCAGAAAGTTATACAAATACCATTTAATTCAGTTATGTATTAATAAAAATACTAGTACTGCTAATAATAATTATAATAATATTATTATTAACAACATAATTAATAATAATAATAATAATAAACATATATATTAACTGTCTTTTTAAATTGTGTATATTCCTGCTTGAGTTTCAGACTAGGAGAGTGAAGGGCAGCAATAGGCGCTAATCAGGCTCTGCTTGCAATGCACATGTGCTGACAGTGACCATACTGACAGGCAGAAAGAGCAGAGTGAGCAGAATGAAAAAAGGTTGAGAAACATTGATATACAATTGACATTGACATTGATATAAAACTTTGGTATATGTGTTTTAACTGTATGTTTATAAAGTTGCCTGAAGCTTTTAGTATATTAATGTGAAGAGCAGTATGGGGAGATTCTTTAAAGGAAACCTGTCATCAGGTGAATACATGAGCTGACCTGTTTCTAAATATGTTAATTGCTTAGCTATCTGCTGGCTTTAATACTTTTTAAATCAAGAATAAGTAAGAAATCAAGAGAGTAAGAGGAAAGCCAGAAGTCCTTATCCTTAAGAGGATCTCATATGATAAGTAGGCAACTAGCATTTCTAGAAGGTCACCAATGGCAAACTCCATGTCTCTTTTCTGATATGTTTCCATTTGTTAAGAAATGTGTCTCATATTCCTTACCATCTTGTATTGTATTGTAACTGTAATGTCTTCCTTATATTGTAAAGCGCTGCGCAAACTGTTAGCGCTATATAAATCCTGTATAATAATAATATTAATTAATTCAAGTAGGTTCCCAGAGCTCTTCCCATAATGTGCAAGAATACCTAGCATACTGCATTGGAATTTCAGCCCAAGGCTACTTAAATGTGGTACTTGAACATATATGCACACAATTAAATAAGAAGGGGGTTATTTATCAAAGGATCCAGCCATAGCTTCGGCGGATCCTTCCGCTTGCTTTGGACTGAAGGGCTGCTGTATGGGCTATTCGCAATAGCCCGTACAGCAGCCGTAGTGACACCTGAAGCATGGAGAACGGTCAGCCGAAGCTGACCGATCTCCAGGCAAATGACAGCTGGCTGAAGTCAGCCATGATCTCACGCTCGCTCCGCCCATTTGTAATGACAGATCAGCGTCCCCAAATGACCTGGGGATGCTGATCTGTCATTAAACAATAACAATCTGCCCAGTTGTTATTCATTGGTCCGGACCTGCTAGAAGACTCTGGCCGGTGCTGGCTAATAGGAAACAGTTGGGTGGAGCTAACTGTCACTGCTATCTCCGCCCAATTTTTCTTTTCTTTCAAATATCTTTCTTTTTTTTTTACATTTTCCTATTTTATATACTTTTTTTATAATTTTTCAACTTTTTTTTTCATTCTTTTCACTTCTTTTCTATTCTGCTTGGTACCTCATTGGTACCGGGCAGAATAGCCAAGCAGAATGCCGCTCGGCGGCATTTGGCTATCTACTCACTGCCGTTATGCCCCTATGAGAATAGAGGCGAACGCCAGCAAATGAGCTGCCGGAGCTTCAGCTCAGCTGATCCAGATGTTGGATCGGCTGAGTCGAACTCCTTCTGCACTTCGGCTCAGCTGAACATGCAGAGCATGTTCAGCTGCCCGAAGGCAGCCGATGTACAGCTGATTTTAGCCGATGTACAGCTGAAATCAGCCATACAAGACTGAAGTGAATAGCCGAACAGTGTTCGGCTCACTTTATTTCGGCTGGGTTATTTACTCGGCTGCCTTCGGCAGCTTTGTCAATAACCCCCTAAGAGTAAAAACGATAACCTACATGTCTGCAAATATATTTATCTTCCACTAGATGTCACTTTTCCTTGTCTAAATTTTAGGAAATACAGTAAGAATCAAGTTATTTTACTCAGCTGGAAGTGAATTATCCCTGGTTGTATATAAAATAGAATCTATGCATCAAATGTATCCCCCTCAGCGTGTTATTTTTTCTACAGTTAGTACCTTAATCACTGGGACTCTAGAGGCTAAAGAGCGAGAAAGGTCACAGAGTATAAAGAATAAACAATAATTAATAAAAATATGCTTTATTAACATAATATTTAAAATTCTATGATGAATAATGATTGCATCAACTAAACACACATTTAATAAAAATAGTCAGGAATATAAAATGTAGAACATTTACTAGTAAATCTGCTAATAAGAGATGTCCTTCTTTAACTCCTAAAGCACTGAAGAGCATTGAAATTGACTTACCTATGTTAAGTCTTCTGAAATGGTTAAACACTTCCAAGACCCTCATCACAGGGTGTTCTTTACATATAAAAATCAGTTTTTATTGCTCTAGTGATATCGCAAAGCAACATTTCCATGTAAAACAGCCTTATCTTCAAATTTAAAGTCCAGAAGTCACATTAATAGATAAGCAGTCACATGAGCAGGGCCTTCCTAACCCTCCTGTCTTGCATTTTAATGTAACAGTACTGTCTCCCTTTATTTTGTAAAGCGCTGCACAAACGTTTGGCACTATATAAATCCTGTATAATATTAATAGACATTGTATCAACAAAGTTTATTGTTATAGTCTTACTTCCATGTTCTTGTTTCAGCAGCTATGCAGGGTGTCTTCATATGATTGTGCAGTCTAAAAGACGCCAGAGGTTAAACTTCTACACTCAGCAATCAGCACTTAGTAACAAACTCCCAACTTCCTCTGCAATACAAGAGGGGTGTGGCTGTTATTCAGCTCTGCCAGCAATGCAGTAGGAAAGCAGAAGGCAACATGTATACTGAGAGAGAAAAATGTATTTAAGGCATAATATCTGCTATTAAGCATTGCCTTAATGCTCAGCTCACTTCAAAAGATATCTCTATGTACTACAGAACCATCTTATCTCTGTCATCAGTAAAGGCAAATAGGGAATCTGGTTAAAATTTACATTATAGCCACCTCATGGTTAGTTATTATACATGTGTTGCCATTTTGTTACATTAAAATGTGATATTTGACTCCATGATTGAGTTTGGATTTACATGAATTTTATTTCCTTCATTTTTTTTTTAAGTTAACAGTTATCTCTCACTACTGAGTACAGTGCAGTGCGGTCTATATATATTTTTATATAGAAGACTGGTAGGGGTTAGTTATCTCTTTATGCGCAGTTCTTATTAAATTGCCAAGCTATCTTTTAAAACATTCCAGTTTGTGAGGAAATAGACTGGATATCTATCAAAATAACAACATTAAGTTTGCAATCATCACTCCAATGTCAGGCTGAGGGATCTGTGTAAAATAAATAGAACACAATTAATCTTCTAATTATTACATCATTTATGCATAATATGTTAATGCCAATGTCATTTTCAAGAGACACAATTGCCTTTGGCCTCAGTATTATGCATCAGTCTCAGAAATTAGGATGAACACTTTTCACAGTTCATTTCTTGGTTCCGAAACAATTACTGATGAGGGAGAAGCAGGGAAAAGATACAAAGAACAAAGATTATAATGTAATACATATTATTAACATTGTTCCATGTACTGAGATAACAAATGTATGTATATGTAAATGATATGGTATAATACACATAAGACCTGCGAGGAGTGACTACATGGAAATCACTAGGTATACTATGACTAATAAATCTGTTAATCTTTTTTATGTTGTATATACATTCTTCCACGGAGAAATGTTAATGCCTATATTATCTTGCAGTTTCCTTGTTACGTGGAGATCAAAAGAACTAGATAGCATGATAGGTTCCCTGTTGTGTATATCATTTGTAAGTAACCATTCCAACCCGTAGGCGTTCTTATTAAATATGGAATGATGCATGATTCCAACTCTAAAATAATACATGTTTTATCATGGCTGTGGTACCCCACAGATCTTTTAGTCTTTTTAATGTATTGTAGTTATACATATCAAACGGATCAGCTAGATGTAAAAAGTTTTATCCAAGTATCTTAATGTTTCAAAAACCTTTTCTCTATGTTTATAATTATATATGTACAGCCATGTTTGTTCATTGCAAATGCAAGCTTTGCTTCCTGCTTGGTAGTGCTACACAATAGTTTTGCTGTTCTGGTACTGATCACAGTGCAGGCTTTTTAGTCTTTATGTGTACAGCCAAGTGTGGTCATTACATAAGCAGCCTCTGCTTCCACCTAATTCCTTTATCTCATTGATACGTTTTGTCTAAATTCAATATTATAGGGGCTGATTTACTAAAGGCAAATAGACTGTTCACTTTGCAAGGGAGTTTGCATTTTGCAAGGAACTTTTCCCTCTGCTTAGAGTGTGTTCTAAAAAATCACTTTCAAATTATACCCAATCATGAGCAAGGGAAATAAAGAGTTTTTGGTTGGTTGATGGAAGTCAGCAGTGCTTCACCTCATTCACTAAA